GTGTGTGTGTGTGTGTGTGTGTGTGTGTGTGTGTGTGTGTGTGTGTGGTCCAGCATTATTTGTGTCCAGCGTCTGATTTGCTTCACTTAAGTGCCATACAGATGAACAAGCTTGTGACAAATGTTTTTTTTTTACTTCTTCTTTTAGCTCTCACACATAATCACAAATTCACACGTTGACAGTTTTCCTCTCCCACACCGTCTTTTCCGCACACCTTTACACACTTGCCCAAGGCCCCATGGGAAGTGGTGTCTGCACAAATGCTCCCTCTTCTTTCTCCCTGTCTTTCTCTCATTCTTTCTTCTCTCCCTTGACTTGTTTTCAGACATGCAGGCTCAAGCACACTTGGCTGCACATGCCCCCCCTCTCCACACACACACACCCTCGTCGTCCCCTCCCTCCTTTCCTTTACATTTCTCCTGTGCGGCATCTCCATGGCAACATAGAAAGAGACCTCTGTCCTTGGCGAACAGTGTGACAGTGTGGGGTGCTCTGGGTATGGGGGTGGTAGTGGTTTCTTTTGGAGCAGGAGGAGCAGAGGCTGGTGCAGAAGGTAGCAGGGAGGTGCACAGTATGCCACCCAGGGGAGGCCAGGACATCGTTGGCCTGGCAGCAGCGACAGCCGCCCCCTTAGAACTTGGTTTGAATGTGAGGTGGAGGAGGGGGTGGGAACTGCTAGAACAGAGTGGGCTGCTGTCACACAATGAGCAATCAATATGAATTACCCAGAGCAGTAAGACCTCAGAGACACATCAGTAGCAAGGTCGCTCTGAACACCGAGATGATTGCAGCTTTGAAATTCACTTTAGTACATCGCCTTGAAACTTGCACATAAGGCTCCATTCTCAGTCATTTTGTGTAGAGCCCTTTATTACTGAACACCGAGGAGCCATGCGCTCAGGTAGTGGCTCGTTTTCACCATTTCTGCTCCACTTAACTCTCCGACATGCCTTCTAATTATTCCCTAATGTTCCAAAGTTACAGCAAACTCAAAAGCATCATTACCTGGAAAACTTTTTAACTTAACATTAATGGATTCATGTAATGCTCCTTTTGTGAGATTTTTCTTGCCATTGTGTAGCTGAAGCACTTTCACTGATGTTGGGAGAAATTGCTTTTTTTGAAAATTAACATTAAGCTTGTTACAATAAACGTCTTTATTCATCTCGGTGGTTGATAGATTAATCAATCACATTGTGCCGTCACTTCACTACCATTAATCCAACAGCTCTTAGCAGTGTCAGCAAAAAGAAACCTTGTGAATTTTTTTCTTCCAGGTTTGGTAAGAGTCACTGTCTATCACAGTACTGTGTAAATCAAATACAAAAGCACCTTTTTATCTTTGCTTGACTCTTTAAAACATCTCTGTTATTAATTCACCCATTAATTTACTACTGTACATACCACAGAGCTAATCAGTGGACACTTGGACAAATAGTGGGGCTTGAGACTGAAGAATAACAGAGAAAAAATATACTCCTGCTGTTAAGAATAGACTTTTCCTCTGTTTAATTGTTTAATTTGTTTTAAACACTGAGTGCATGGCAGACGAGCACAATATAATGCATTTAAATTATTAAAATTTAAAAGCAAATGTTAGACTGGTACAGGACATGTGCAAGCAGGACAGTGAGATGTGCTGTAGGGGTAACAGAAAGCTTCAAGACGGAGGTGGGAGTGCATCAAGGATCTGCTCTGAACCCCTCCTTGTTTGCTCTAGTCTAGGCAGACTAACAGATGAGGTCAGGTAAGAATTCCCTTGGTCTATGATGTTTGCAGATGACATTGTGATCTGTGGTGAGAACAAGGAACAGGTGGAAGAGAACTTGGAGAGGTGGAGGTATGCACTTGAAAGAAGAGGAATGAAAGTTAGCCTTAGTAAAACAGAGTACATGTGTGTGAATGAGAGGGAGGCCGGTGGAACAGTGAGGCTACAAGGAGCAGAGGTCACAAAGATGCAGGACTTTGGGTACTTAGAGTTGACTGTCCAGGAAAATGGGGAATGTGGTAAAGAGATGGAGAGTCCAGACAGGATGGAGTGGATGGAAAAAAGTTTCTGAAGTGATTTGTAATGAAAGAGTGGTAGCAAAGGTCAAAGGAAAGGTTTAGAAGAGAGTACCGAGACCAGCTATAAGTCCAACACCAACCATTTTTTTTGTATTGCATATCTAACAAAAATATGAGAGAGACATAACAAAAAACACTTATGGTATGTTTTGTGGCAAACTTTGAAAAGTAATATAAAATGATTTAAATGATTTTTTTGTGAGATTTCAAGCTGGTTTTTGGAAACGGCCCTTCTCTTCCATATATGGAATGTGACATCATGATGGGGAATCCATCATTTGAAATTGACAAATTTCTATTGCACAAGGTACAAAGTTACAGTCTATCATTTCCTTCTAATTTCTGACAACAACAAAAAATAGTCAGGAACAACAAACCAAATCAGTGTGTTTCACAGTTGTGTGGGAACACAGTCAAGGAGGGAGCTAATACCCACTCTTTCTCGAAACTCAAGGAAATTCACGAGAAATGGGTGAATTTTGTCAAAGTTAAATGGGCAGACTTCACAGCACTGCCAACAAACAGTGTTTGTTCTGTTTTCAAAACACTTTTGATACGAGGATATATGGAAACAAAGAAAAGTTTTAACGCCAGACTGGAGATAGATGCTGTACCAAGTATTCAGTTAGATTCACTGTGCACAGGAACTGGGAAACTTGAAGGATCGGACACGGACACATTGACAGTTGTGAGAAAATGGGAAGTTTTATGGGCAATGCACTTGGTAATTTAGATTTCTGTCTAAAGTAGACTTTAAACAATAAACCAGTTTTAAAATTGTGTTGATAGGCCAAGTAAAACCAGAGTTATGATAAATTATTCACGCCACATCTTTTTCTGAAAATTATCATCATATTGGAAGTGTGTTGGAGATGGAGACAGCAGCAAATAAATTAAACTCCTATACACCCCCTCAGTCATAACCCCCACCCACCCCACTCCTGCTGAACTAACAAACATACCACTACCTCCTTTCTGGCTGTGGCCCAAAGTTATTTGTCAAGCATAAAAATTACTACATGAAGAAGAAGAAGAAAAAGACACGTAAGGGAGTTCAGAGGGCGAGATGTAGTGAAGGCTGGAGTAATGAGACAGATGGAGCCGCTCGGTCAGTTTAGGGTTAGGGTTTTTTAGAACATCGTTCTCAGTTCTCCAGAGCTCAGAGCTGATTTTTGGTTCTGTTGGCCCAGCCAGCAGAGATCTGAACCAGGTGTGCGTGTGTTCACTGGATAACTCCATCAGCTCAAGAGTTAATATCAATGATCCTTACAATCAGATTAGTTTTAATAGAATGTTCATTCTATTGTAAACATTGAAAACACCGGCTGGTTTGTGCCAATCTGGGAAGGTCCTTCCTGTACTAATGAGGCTTCTCATGGAGTTGCCTCTTCTTGCCTTTTTGGTGGCTCACACATGTACATAGCAAACCCTCCTCGTTGAGCAATAACTTCACACCAAGCAGTTCTACTTTATTCTTAATCACTTACAGATAAGTTATAGATATTGTTGGAGAAAATCTCTCTCACCAACTTTGTTTACCAAAAAAGAACCGCACTCAACAGCAGAAGTCCAAAAAAGTTCAATCTGGTCCTCTGGACATTCAAAAAAACAAAACAAAGCAAAAAAAATCTAGAAACGTTTCGTCTCTCATCCAAGAGACTTCCTCAGTCTGAGGTGCTGTTTTCAGCTCAGTCTCTTAAATAGCACCTTCTGAGTGCAACCAGAATCCTGGATTCTGCGGTCTACACTCATCTCCAGGCCAGCGGTCACTCTTTCAAGGATGAAGATGTTCACATCCTGGACAGAGAGGAACGATGGTTTGAGAGAGGAGTAAAGGAGGCCATCTTTGTGAAAAGAAATCGTCCATCGTTAAACAGGGGTGGAGGCCTCCGGGTTCAACTGTCCCCCTCTTACAATGCTGTGATTGCTAGTATCACTCAGCCCTCTGTGAGTAGTAAACAGCCATCAGTGTGCTAATGATCCATTGTTAGGCTGATGGTCCTTCTTGAGCATGTGATCAGCTGGTTTTGGTTGTCAGCAGCAAACTGGTTGATCCACTCTGAGAAGGTGCTATTTAAGAGACTGAGCTGAAAACAGCACCTCAGACTGAGGAAGTCTCTTGGATGAGAGACGAAACGTTTCTAGATTTTTTTGCTTTGTTTTGTTGTTTTTTTTTTTGAATGTCCAGAGGACCAGATTGAACTTTTTTGGATTTTTCTACCTGGATTATTGAGCATGCATCAGGATATCAACAGCAGAAGATTTTTAACAGGAATTTTACTTGCAAGGTCCCATTCAAGACAGCTTACATACACAGATACTGTACGTAATGCATGGAACATGTCACAGAATGAGCGTAAAATAGTCTTCTGCAGACTTCTTTTACAGCAGCAGAGTTCAGTGAGCATTCACTCATAGCCAGCTGCAGTCAGACGTGACATGATCCATGGCCGTCGGCAAGTCGGCCTCCAAATGGAAATAAGAGAAAGTTTTGGACATGTTCTCGTGGTGACGACGCCAATGAGGCACTACGAGTCGGCAAGGTGGCCTCCAGGCCGAGATAAGAAAATGTTTTGGGCATGTTCTCAAAGCAGGAGGGAACGATTTTCTCAGCCATCTCAACCATAATATAGAAACGCAATAAAAAATATTCATACCGAAAATTCTTTAACATATCTTCTAAATCACTTGAACATTCTCCACTGAAATCATTCTCACTAGCATATGCCTCCATCTAGAATACACTTTCCTGCCTGTGCCCTGTCCCAGTCTTGACGTCATTATCCTTCTCTAATCATTGGTCCTGTGTCTGGTGTTTCCATAGCTGGTTTATTATATTTATTTATTTTTTACACTTGCCTGGCCCGAATGTGAAAAAAACTTATAGCTATTGTATTCTACTACAGTGATTACCCATTAAGAACACTTTGGTGGATGTTGGACTTTAAATGGTTTTGAGACAATGGCACTGATAAGACAAGAGACAGAACTGGAAGTAGCAGAAATGAAGATGTTGAGGTTCTCCTTGGAAGGGACAAGAATGGATAAGATCAATGAATGAATGAGATCATCAGAGGTACAGCACAGGTTGAAGAACTGGGAGATAAAGTTAGAGAGGCCAGACGAGTGGTGTAGTCTATGTGATACGCGGGTATACGGAGTATACACATTAGAAAAGCTTGGGAATTTTAGTATACCCACTTAATAGTTATAGAATTGCGCCGCTCAAGGTGGCTGCATGTTGGAGCAGCTGTGTTACTTTCATTCTGAGATTTTGCTTTTGGAAACTTTAATTCCTGTTTTTCTGGATGTAAATCACATTTTTTGGATGGTTGTTTCCTCTAGTATCGGATGCTGTGCAGCTGGAAGGATTTTTACTGAAACTTTTTTAGTTTTGGACATTTGTTATGATGCGTAACCATGGCAACAAGGCAGTTTTCTAAAACTAACAGCTGATTAACATCTCAAAACTCAAATAATATCTCAGCTACAACACCAAATATCAAACGAGTTGAAAGGATGTTCTGTGGACGCATTCTCATCTACCTGCCAGCTGTGCTCGAGTGCCTGACCACTGAGATCCTGGAACTAGCAGGAAACACGGCTCATGACAGCAGAAGGGCAGGATCATCCCTCAGCACCTACAGTTGGCTGTCCACAGCAACGAGGAGCTCGGCAGACTGCTGGGAGGAGTGGCCATTGCTCTGGGAGGAGTTCTGCTCTGCATTCGGGCGGTCCTACTGCCTGGGAGAACTGAGAGGCCAGCTGAGTCTGGGTGGACGGATTGGACGGCATCTGCAGCCAGTTTCTTAGGATCCACTGTGGGACGGACCTTTACAAGAGATCCTTCCTGCGTACAGCCATCAGTATCTATAACATCTCTTAATAAAATGAGGATAACGAGTTACAACAACAAAATAATTTCCCTTTGGGATTAATAAAGTATTTTTGAATTTGAATTGAATTGAATTTAAAAGTACCCAATGACACAAGCCATACATGACATGGGCTTGTGTCATTGTCAACAAATTTGGAACATTTTATAGACACACTGAGTTGGTTCAACTGTTTTTTGTATAATTAATACTTTTGTACTTACTACTTAATACTTGAACATGTTTTTCTTTGTCACTGTTTTGTAAATTCTGTAACATATTTTTAATACAAAGCCAACTGTGGTACAAAGTTTGTCATACATTTATTTGAATAAAAGTATCAGAGAATTTTTTTAATGTTCAATATGCTTAAAAATGAAAATAAATTAACAATTACATTGTACTAATATGTGTACCATGCTTTGGTTTCTAAGCACAGTATACCCACTACAAAAATGTAGACTACACCACTTGGCCAGACTGAGATGGTTTGGACATGTCCAGAGGAGGGACAGTGGGTATATTGTTAGAATGATGTTAGAAATGCAGCTGCCAGGAAAAAGACAGAGGAGATGTATGGATGAAGTAAGAGAGGACATGGAGGTAGTTGTAGTGAGGACAGAGGATGCAGAGGACAGAGATGGAGGAGGATGACTCGCTGTGGAGACCCCTGAAGAGGAAAAAGCTGAAAGAAGAAGAAGAATTAGATGTACATCTATAACTTAATTAACATTTGAAGCCAGCCCATTTTCATTTTGATTCTACAGCTAACACATTAGCCAACACAAACATGGTCAGTTTAACAAATATTTAGCAAAAATTTAATGTGGTATTCATTCACAACACATATTTTGAGCATGACCTCTCGCAATATTGTAAGCTTGAGTGTATTACTTTCAAGGTTTGACCAAAATGGCTATAACTCTTATCAATTCTCAACTTAAAATGACCTTTGTCTAAAACTCTGGCATTTGCCCTTCATAGATTGCTAGGCTTCTAATATTGTTGATGTTTTTTCCTATTTTTTCTTGTTCTTTGAACATAAAAGAACAGAGTCAACACACTCGTGCAACCTTGGTAAGACATTGATTTAGCTGATACATATTTTTTCCTTAAATATAATTTTTGTGAGCTTTACCACCTGAGCCCATTGTAAATGGATGCAGCACTAAAAAATAAACACTGTGACTGTATCAGACAATGAACTACGAACATAGGAAGTTGGAGAAAACGTACCAGGCGACAGTGAACTGAAACTGTCAGCTGGACTGAATATCTGTTGACGACAGCAGACCTCAGCATAAAAATCTGTGGTAAAAGTAGTTGGACTGTAGAAGGCTGAACTGAATCGGAAGGTCTTCTTGCTAAACTTCACCCACCCCCAGTAACCTGGGGTGTTTGAGATGTTGTGTTTACATAAACATTACAAAAACTGTGTATTTTTTTATATTGTTATAATAACCTGCTAATGTATTTCTTTTTTCTTGTTGTTTCCAGAAAAAGTAAGCAAAGCCAACAACCACAAAGACAGTAACATGGTGGGAATAAATAGGTAAGTCTGGGATTCTTCTTGTATTTAAAAATGTAAAAAGCAGTTTTCATTGTAATTTCCATGGTTGGTTACAGATCTTGCAGTTCATATACAAGCAAATTATGGGGGTTGTGTATAAGTGTTGGTAATATAACCACATTTCTCTGTTTCAGTTCATTCCTAGACGAATGCTTCAGACAATCACCATTTAACTCACGCTCCAAGAGCTCTTCCCCCGCGGAGGCCAGTTCTTCTACAAGGGCAGCTTTTCAGGGTGAGACAAATATTACACACCCATTCATTCTTATACATATAGTGAGACAGAATACACGCACAAACACTAATATACATACAGTGAAGCATACAAACAGTGAGGCACATATGTAGGAGGCTGAGTCAGAGGATTGATTTCTCTATACTGTCACACATTGAAGTGTTCCTGGGCAAAGCTAAACTCTTTATTTATTGCTTGTTCCTATTGGTGTATGAATGTGATCTAAAGCACTGATTTGACTAAATAAAATGAATAATTCTGATTAGTTTTGTAAAGACGTAGTGGAGGTCTGTATGTGTGTGTGGATGGGTGGGTAAATGAGGCCGCAGATTGTTGTAAAGTGTTTTGAATAGCTGGTTGGCTAGAGAAGAGCTATACAAGTGCAGTCTATTTACCATGTTACACACAGACATACATGTTACACACACAAGCCACAAAACACTGGATCTGGCCTTTCCTGCATTTCTCAAACTAAAGGCTCTGCTCTGGGCATCCCCCCTTCTCCTTCCTCCCACTCATCCCTGGCATCCTAGAACTTCCATTTGTGGGATTTTTTTTGACAGTGAGAGATCCAGAGGTTAATTGGCTTGTGCCAGCTTTGCCTGTCCCTCTGCCAGTTAATGAAAATGTGATTGGCTTCTGGGTGTCAACAGTGTCCTGAAAGTTAATTCGCCCGGGTCCTTCCCTTGTGTGTTTAAGCTTCACATTCAGCCTCTGTTTCTTTCTGCGATTTCACCTGGTTTACTCCCCCTACCCCACCCCCACTCTATTTTATGTCTTTTTCAGTCTCATTTTCTTTTATGACCCACTCACCCAAACATCAGTATAACTGTAAATAAATCCAATTAGCAGTTTTAAGTGAATTTAGTAATAACTAGAGAAATTGCATTTCCTGCAAAAATGCAATGTGAATGCTTATTGCAGAAGAACTTGCTGAGAAACAGCTGAAATTAACTAAGAAAAACATTCTGAAATGGAGCTGAAATGGAAGAACAAGCCTAAATTAGCAGAAGAAAGCAGAAAGAACACATTTGCTGAATTAGGCTTAAATACTGGTAAGCAGAAATGAGAACAAAAATGAGGAAATTAGCTAAAAAAAAAAAATAAAAAAAAGCTGAAATTAGCAAAAAATTGCTGAAAAATAGCTGACAGGCAGAAAGAACCTTAAACTGCCAGAAGGAAGTGATAAGAGCTGAAATGAGCTAAAATATGTGGAATTAGCTGAAAAAGCTAAAATGATCATAAAACGGCTAGAAATAGTCAGACTCACCTCGACGCATGGCTCTGACTCTGGAACCGGTTTCCTTTGAGAGGAGTTGGACACTCTTCCACTCTGGAGTTGCCCCAGGTGAGAGGCACCAAGCAGGAGTGGGCATACTTGTTGCCCCCCATCTTAGTGCCTGTACATTGGGGTTCACCCTGGTGAACGAGAGGGTAGCCTCCCTCCGCCTACGTGTGGGGGGACAGGTTCTGATTGTTGTTTGTGCTTATGTGCCGAACAGCAGTTCAGATTACCCACCCTTTTTGGAGTCCTTGAAGGGGGTACTGGAGAGTGTGCCTCCTGGGAACTCCCGTGTTCTGCTGGGGGACTTCAACGCTCACATGGGCAATGACAGTGAGACCTGGAGAGGTGTGGTCGGAAGGAACGGCCCCCCTGATCTGAACCAGAGTGGTGTTCTGTTATTGGACCTCTTTGCTCGTCATGGATTGTCCATAATGAACACCATGTTCAAGCATAAGGGTGTTCATATGTGCTCTTGGCACCAGGACACCCTAGGCCGCAGTTCGATGATCAACTTTGTTGTCGTCTCATCTGATCTGCGGCTGCATGTCTTGGACACTCAGGTGAAGAGAGGGGCGGAGCTGTCCACTAACCACTACCCGATTATGAGTTGGCTCCGATGGTTGGGGAGGATGCTGGTCAGACCTGGCAGACCCAAACGTATTGTGAGGGTCTGCTGGGAATGTCTGACAGTCTCCCATGAGACGGAGCTTTAACTCCCACCTCCGGGAGAGCTTCAAACACATTCCGGGGGAAATTCCACATTGAGTCCGAGTGGGTCATGTTCCGCGCCTCTATTGTCGAGGCGGCTTATCAGAGCTGTGGCTGCAAGGTTGTCGGTGCCTGTCACGGCGGGTACCCTTGAACCCGGTGGTGGACACTAGCACTGAGGGATGCTGTCAGGCTGAAGGAGTCCTATTGGGCCTTTTTAGCCTGTGGGACCCCGGAAGTAGCTGATGGGTACCAGCAGTCCAGCCAGCATGCAGCTCGGGTGGTCGCTGAGGCAAAAACTCAGGTGTGGGAGGAGTTCAGAGAGGCCATGGAGAATGACTTCCGTACGGCTTTGAGGCGATTCTGGTCCACCATCCAGTGTCTCAGGGGGGAAGTGGTACGCCGCCAACACTATTAATAGTGGAGGTGGTGTGCTACTGACCTCAACTCGGAATGTTGTGGGTCGGTTGGTGGAATACTTTGAAGACCTCCTCAATCCCACCAGCACATCTTCCACTGAGGAAGCAGAGCCTGGGACTTTGGATCGGGCTCTCCAATCTCTGGTGCTGAGGTCACCGAGGTGGTTAAAAAGCTCCTCGTTGGCAGGACCCCAGGGGTGGATGAAATTCGCCCGGAGTTGCTTAAGGCTCTGGATGTTGTGGGGTTGTGTTGGCTTACACGACTCTGCAATATTGCGTGGACATCAGGGGCTGTTCCCCTGGATTGGCAGACTGAGGTGGTGGTCCCCCTATTCAAAAAGGGGGACCATAGAGTGTGTTCCAACTATATGGGAATCACGCTCTTAAGCCCCCCTGGTTAGGTCTATTTGGGAGTTCTGGAGAAGAGAGTCCGTCGAATAGTCGAACCTCGGATTCAAGAGGAGCAGTGCAGTTTTCGTCCTGGTCGTGGAACACTGGACCAGCTTTACACCCTCAGCAGGGTCCTGGAGGGTGCGTGGGAGTTTGCCCAACCAGTCTACTTGTGTTTTGTGGACTTGGAGAAAGCGTTCGACCGCGTCCCTTGGGGAACCCTGTGGGGGGTGGTACTCCAGGAGTATGGGGTACCAGGCCCTTTGATACGGGCTGTTAGGTCCCTGTACGACCGGTGTCAGAGCTTGGTCCGCATTGCCGACAGGAAGTCGGGCTCGTTCCCAGTGAGAATTGGACTCAGCCAAGGTTGCCCTTTGTCACCGATTCTGTTCATAACTTTTATGGACAGAATTTCTAGGCGCAGCCAAGGTGTTGAGGGGATCTGTTTTGGTGGCCTTAGGATCACTTCTCTATTTTTTGCAGATGATGTGGTCTTATTGGCTTCATCAGGTCGTGAGCTACAGCTTTTGCTGGAGCAGTTCGCAGCCGAGTGTGACACAGCCAGGATGAGGATCAGTTCCTCCAAATCCAAGGCCATGGTCTTGAGCCAGAAAAAGGTAGAGTGCCCTCTCCGGGTCGGGGATGAGTTCCTGCCCCAAGTGGAGGAGTTTAAGTATCTTGGGATCTTGTTCACGAATGAGGGAAAAATGGAGCATGAGATCGATAGGTGGATAGGTGCAGCGTCAGCAGTGAAGCAATACCAGTCTGTCGTGGTGAAGAGAAAGCTGAGTCAAAAGGCGAAGCTCTCAATTTACCGGTCAATCTACGTTCCTACCCAGAGGAAGACCCAGGACACACTGGAGGGACTATGTTTTTCGGTTGGCCTGAGAACGCCTTGGGATTCCCCCGGAGGGGCTGGCCCAAGTGGCTGGGGAGAGTGAAGTCTGGGCCTCCCTACTTAGGCTGCTACCCCCGCGACCCGACCCCGGATAAGCAGAAAAAAATGGATGGGTGGATAGACAGCTAAATAGTAGCTGAAATAGCAGAAGAAGCTGAAACTAGCATAATTAAGCTGAAATTATCAGAAAGAAATTACTGTAATTATGTTGAAAGTAGCAGAAATTAACATAAAAAATTCAAATTTATCTGAAAAAAACCGAAGTTAGCTAGAAAATGCTAAAAACATAGCTGAACAGGTAGAAAAAGCTTAAACTAGCAGAAGAAAGCAGAAATAACACTTTTGCCAAATTAGGCTGAAAGAAGCAGAAATGAGCACAATAGTGGAAATTATCTGGGAAAAAAAGCTGAAATTGGCAACAACAAAAAAATGCTGAAAAGTAGATAAAAAAAATCATAATTTTAAATTACCAGAAGGTTGTGGAGAGAGCATTTTTTTTTGCTAAATAAGGTAAAAAAAAGTTTAATTTAGTAAAAAAAAAAAAAAAAAAAAGGTGGAATTAGCTGAAAAAGCTAAAATTAGCATAAAACAGCTAAATAATAGCTGAAATAGCAGAAAAGCCTATACTTGCATAAATAAGCCGAAAGGCGCATAACAACCTGAAATTAGAAAGAAGTTAGAAGAAGCAGAAAAATATTGTAGTTAACAGACATAATCTGAAAAAATCACAAAACAGCTGAAAAAACAGCTGAAAGTAGCTGAAAAAAAGTTTAGATTTGCAGAAGGAAGCTGAAAGAAGCTGAACCAGAACAAAATGTGAAAGGAGCAGTAAAAGGTTGTAAACGGATCTAAAAATTTGAAGGATGTAAAATGAGCTCAATTCATTTTCTTTGAGGAAAAAATAGCAGAAAAAGCTAAATATTTCAAAAAGCTAAAGTTGCACCAATACCAAAAGTCATAACACGTTTGTTACGAAAGAGCTGAACATTTTGATTTATGATTTGTTGGAATAGCACAAAAATTGTGGAACGAGAAAGATGCTGAAAAATGGATCACAATAGTGTGCATGCTTCATAAGCATCACACAGTAAGGTAATGTCATGAGTTTGTAAGCTCAATCATCAAGGTAGATAACAACAAAAAAAGGTTAAATCGTGTCAGCTGGACCCGTTTCTTTAAGTGAAGAAACGTTTCGTCCCCCATCCAGAGGACTTATCAGTCTGCTGCCTGCCAACCAGATCTGTCCCATAGGTAGCCTTCATTGCTGTGTTTCAAGCCAACCTCCTGTTGGAATCTCAGA